TCAGTCTCTGAAAGTCCTAAGGTGTGCAAATGTAATCAAGCTAGATGAGTGAGCATGGGTGTCAGGGAGAAGTGCATGTATGAAAATGTAGTCCAGGAAAAGTGTAGTTCTAAGTGTGTGTGTTTACCAGCGACATCTGGTGGTTGTTCGCTGGTGAACATGACAGAGCCCCCCCTCTAAGGAGTGGCTTCCAGACACTCCTAATACTGTTCAGGCGGGAGGTGGAGCGGAGGCGGAACTGGGGGAGGGATGGAGGGCCAGGACCATGCAGCGGGGGCAGGACTGGAGCATGGAGCAGCGGAGGGCCTGGAGCGTGGAGCAGCGGAGGGCCTGGAGCGTGGAGCAGCGGAGGGCCTGGAGCGTGGAGCAGCGGAGGGCCTGGAGCGTGGAGCAGCGGAGGGCCTGGAGCGTGGAGCAGCGGAGGGCCTGGAGCGTGGAGCAGCGGAGGGCCTGGAGCGTGGAGCAGCGGAGGGCCTGGAGCGTGGAGCAGCGGAGGGCCTGGAGCGTGGAGCTGCGGAGGGCCTGGAGCGTGGAGCTGCGGAGGGCCTGGAGCGTGGAGCTGCGGAGGGCCTGGAGCGTGGAGCTGCGGAGGGCCTGGAGCGTGGAGCTGCGGAGGGCCTGGAGCGTGGAGCTGCGGAGGGCCTGGAGCTGCGGAGGGCCTGGAGCTGCGGAGGGCCTGGAGCGTGGAGCTGCGGAGGGCCTGGAGCGTGGAGCTGCGGAGGGCCTGGAGCGTGGAGCTGCGGAGGGCCTGGAGCGTGGAGCTGCGGAGGGCCTGGAGCGTGGAGCTGCGGAGGGCCTGGAGCGTGGAGCTGCGGAGGGCCTGGAACGTGGAGCTGCGGAGGGCCTGGATCATGAGGCTGCGACCATTGGGGAAGCTTAGGTGGCAGCGGCCATTCAGGAAGTTCAGCAGGCGGCGGCCATTCAGGACGCTCAGGCGGCGGCGACCATTCAGGAAGCTCAGGCGGCGGCGACCATTCAGGAAGCTCAGGCGGCGGCGACCATTCAGGAAGCTCAGGCGGCGGCGACCATTCAGGAAGCTCAGGAGGCGGCGGCCATTCAGGAAGCTCAGGAGGCGGCGGCCATTCAGGAAGCTCAGGAGGCGGCGGCCATTCAGGAAGCTCAGGCGGCGGCGGCCATTCAGGAAGCTCAGGAGGCGGCGGCCATTCAGGAAGCTCAGGCGGCGGCGGCCATTCAGGAAGCTCAGGCGGCGGCGGCCATTCAGGAAGCTCAGGCGGCGGCGGCCATTCAGGAAGCTCAGGCGGCGGCGGCCATTCAGGAAGCTCAGGCGGCGGCGGCCATTCAGGAAGCTCAGGCGGCGGCCATTCAGTGAGCTCAGGAGGCGGCGGCCATTTAGCGAGCTCAGGAGGCGGCGGCCATTCAGCGAGCTCAGGAGGCGGCGGCCAATCTGGAGGTTCAGGTGGTCCTGGCCCTGGCAGCTCTGGCGGCAGCGGCACTGGAGGGTCTGGCAGCACTGGAGGGTCTGGCAGCACTGGAGGGTCTGGCAGCACTGGAGGGTCTGGCAGCACTGGAGGGTCTGGCAGCACTGGAGGGTCTGGCAGCTCTGGAGGGTCTGGCAGCTCTGGAGGGTCTGGCAGCTCTGGAGGGTCTGGCAGCTCTGGTGGTAGCGGTGGCAGCTCTGGAGGTAGCGGTGGCAGCTCTGGAGGTAGCGGTGGCAGCTCTGGAGGTAGCGGTGGCAGCTCTGGAGGTAGCGGTGGCAGCTCTGGAGGTAGCGGTGGCAGCTCTGGAGGTAGCGGTGGCAGCTCTGGAGGTAGCGGTGGCAGCTCTGGAGGTAGCGGTGGCAGCTCTGGAGGTAGCGGTGGCAGCTCTGGAGGTGGCGGTGGCAGCTCTGGAGGTGGCGGTGGCAGCTCTGGCAGTAACAGATCTGGTGGTGGCATCAGCTCTGGCAACTCAGGTGGTGGTGGCCATTCTGGGGGCTCAGGTGATGGTATTTCAGGAACTAGAACAGGAACTATGGCAGGAACGGACAAGGAACAGGAAACCATCTTGTGAGCTAGTGGCAGATTGGCGTTTACCACATTGTGAGTTGGAGGGCTGGTTGTGACCACATTGTGAGCTGGAGGACTGGAGTCAGCCATCTTGTGAGCTGGAGGACTGGAGTCGGCCATCTTGTGAGCTGGAGGACTGGAGTCTGCCATCTTGTGAGCTGGAGGACTGGAGTCGGCCATCTTGTGAGCTGGAGGACTGGAGTCGGCCATCTTGTGAGCTGGAGGACTGGAGTCGGCCATCTTGTGAGCTAAAGGACTGGAGTCGGCCATCTTGTGAGCTGGAGGACTGGAGTCGGCCATCTTGTGAGCTGGAGGACTGGAGTCGGCCATCTTGTGAGCTGAAGGACTGGAGTCGGCCATCTTGTGAGCTGGAGGACTGGAGTCGGCCATCTTGTGAGCTGGAGGACTGGAGTCGGCCATCTTGTGAGCTGGAGGACTGGAGTCGGCCATCTTGTGAGCTGGGAGTGTGGTGATGGAATGAGCAGCAAGCCCCGTTGCCAGCGGGTCTTGCTGTCCTTTGCCCCCCCCAAAAAAATATTTAGGGGTGTCCTCCACCTCTCCTACAGTGAAGGGGGACCCACTCATTTGAAGTGCAAGATCAATATAACCTTCTAGAGTCCCGTGGGGGTCATGCAAAGGCATTGTGGAATATAGGGGCTCAGAAAGTCCTCCACGAAAGAAAATCATTAGGCATAAGTCATCCAAAGATGTTAAATGGGCTACCTGGATGAAGTCCTCCACGTATTCCTCTATAGACCGGGCTTCCTGATGCAGACACATGATCTTGATACCCGCTGAATCCATTGTGTGGCCGAGTCTTCTGTAACGCCGGGGAGTAACACCACAACAGATGGTAGGATCCAATGTGCAGGTTTATTCACAGTCAGGCAAGCAGTGGTCAATACGGGAGCAAACAGATATATGTAGAAAATCCAGAATCGTAGTCAGTAAACAGGCAATAGGTCGTAAGGCAGGCGGCTAAACAGGATGACAAGGATAAACAGGGCTAAGAACAAAACACGGGAAAACAAGACCAGGTAAACGCGTTGTAATGCTACTAAACAGTGAACAAGACTCGGCAAACTGAAGGGGTGAATGTGTGGTTTAAATAGTGTGTGTTAATCAGTCTCTGAAAGTCCTAAGGTGTGCAAATGTAATCAAGCTAGATGAGTGAGCATGGGTGTCAGGGAGAAGTGCATGTATGAAAATGTAGTCCAGGAAAAGTGTAGTTCTAAGTGTGTGTGTTTACCAGCGACATCTGGTGGTTGTTCGCTGGTGAACATGACAGGTGTATTATCATTGTCCTGAGGGAGCTGTAATGGATTTCCTCCGGTTCATGTAAAGAAACAGCGGTCTACCATAACAAAAAGGCCCAGATGGATAACATAAATACATATTTTAAGACATTTCATTTTCTCGACAATCAGCTAAAGCTTTAGTGTTGCACTGAAATCATTTGTCAATGTCCTGATCATATAGAGCAAATGCAAGGCTTTTTCTTTTTTTCATTTTGGTAGCGGCAGCTAATAAAAAAACCCTAGTAAGTGAGGTGATATCTGTTCATCATTTAAAATGATCAGTTTAAAACTGACTAGACAAGATTCATGTGGATAACTTCCAACTTTTTTTTGTAATGGTGCCTAAAACTTTCTAATACTGAAGGGAATAAAATGTGTCGTTTCAAAAGAAATCTTATTAAAAAGTAGATTACTGATAAAAAATTGGTTATTAATAAACTATCGTAGTTCAGTATCAACTGATGTTTTTATATTATTATGATTTTTATTTGTGAATGTTATTATGATATTTATTAATATTTCTATATTCATATTTATTTATTTATTTATTTATTTATTTATTTATTTATTTAATTCTTATAATATTTCTATTAATCTTATACATTGTTTTAGCTTTAGTAATATTACTAACCATATTTGAGGTCCATAAAAAATATTTTCATATATGTACAGTTGAAGTCAGACTTATTAGCCCCCCTTTTTATTGTTTTCTTTTTTAAATATTTTCCAAATTATGTATAACAGAGCAAGGAAATTTTGACAGTGTGTCTGATAATAATGTTTTAAAAAAAACATTTTAAGGTCAAAATTATTAGCCCCTTTAAGCTATAATTTTTAAAGAACAAACCATCATTACATAATAACTTACCTAAATTACCCTATCCAGCTTAGTTAACCCAAATAACCTAGTTAAGCCTTTCAATGTCACTTTAAGCTGTATAGAAGTGTCTTGAAAAAATATCTAGTTAAATATTATTTACTGCCATCATGGCCAAGATAAAATAAATCAGTGATAAGAGATGAGTTATTAAAACTATTATGTTGAGAAAGGTGCTGAAAAAAATCTTTTCGTCAGACAAAAATTGGAGGGAAAATAATTTAGGGGGGATAATAACTCTGACTTTAACTGTATATGCAAAATAAACCTTTTAAATGTTATAAGAAATACATTTTGCATTTTGCATTTTGAGTTCAGTGCAAAGACTGCAAAGTCAATGCATAGTCAATGTGATAATGTTTTGACCTTTGTCATATAGATCAGATAAATACAGGTAAATTTCAACAACTTTTTTAATTAATTAATTTTGTCTCTTTATTTACACAACAGCAGCATTTTGGGAGCCTGACAAAACACATTTTAATTATTATTATTTTTTTTATGTCATGCACATGTATTATTACTTGTTCAATCTATAGTTAACTATTAGCCTTTATCAATATATATTATTGACACAAATTTGTGTAAACAGTGGATTATTTTGCTATTTCTGCAATTTTTTAAAAACATGCAAAGGAAACCAAGTCTGTAATAAATGTCTAAAACTTTTACCCATCTCAACTTCTCAGAGGAGATCTGGTTTAATTGAGCATCACATTTGTTGTCATTGAGGCAGCAGAATGGAGAGGTAAACAAAACCAGGACAGCACATCTACTACTATTCAAATGGCTGCAGAAAACTGAAGCTGTGCATAAGTATTGATTTGAGAGGTTTATTTGGTGACTTAGCATTTCTACAACCAAAGGACAAACTGCATCTGGATGATCACAGTATTGAAATTAGCTCATCTGGTTGACATTTTATTCTCACATTTGATGAGAAATTTACTTGTTTAGATAATTGCTGAAGGTTTCATGTATAAAATACTTTATTGTACACTGTAAAAAATGAGGAGTAGGATTTACATGCAAGGCAACTTTTTCACTCAGAAAAGGCTAATAAATCTTCAAAGCTTTGCCAAGTAAAAGATAAACCAAAATTATTAGTACATTTAATTAGAAATGTTAAGTTGAATTTAATTGGGAAATTTTAAGTAAATTCTATTGACTTTTTGTTTGTAAAATTTACTTAAGTCGTACATTTAAATATATTACTATTTTGAGAGTTATATTTTATCCAATATTCCTAGTTATCTTTTTTAGTTATCCTGAGTTAACTTTACTTTAAAATGTTAAAAAAAATATGGTGATGCATTGCAACTGTTTCTTAATTAAAACACTGCCACAAATTTTCATTGAGGACTTTAATTTGAATTAAACTTCCCAATAAACAAATTTAATAAGTCCTTTTAGACAGAATGATGTGGTCATCTATGTTGGTATCTTCCTCTTCTGTAGTATTGCCCAGTACAATGATCTTCCCAACAATTGGTGAAGCAGTCTTTAAGCAGGTCTTTTGAAATCCTGTCAAATACACAAATAAGTGCATTAAAATACTGTAGAGTTAGTTGCAATGTTATCAATGTTACCTCTTGCTTTATGACATAATAGACTGTATGATATAAAAATGCAACACAGTTGTTTTAGACACAGACACCATTTGCTAATATACTCATGCTTATCAGATTTTCAGCAAACTCACTCAAACAACACTTCATGCCAGGCCCGGATTGTTGGCTAATTGGGAGGACCGGGAGAATTCCCGGTGGGCCGGTCCGTTTTTTGCCCGGCAGGGCCGATTCTAGCTCTAGAATCTGTTGCTCTCAGCAGTCACACTTTTTAAATTTATTTATTTATTTAATTACCTGACCACAACCTTTTTATTCATTATTTTACCGCAGGTCTCCTCTTTTTATCTATTTTTGTCGCTGAGTCACTTCTCAATGAACAGCCGTTGTGGTTCAGTGTATAGCACGTTAGTTTTTGATGCTGCAGACCTGGGTTCGATCCTTGTCTGAGTAATTTATTTTTTTCATTTTTATTGTTAAGACATATAATACTGTTAGGGTTGTTGAATATTTGAAGTTCTAAAGCAGCTGTTTAAAAAAAAAAAAAAGACGTGATAGTGTCATTAGAAACTGATTTGGAAATGACCTTATTTTAATATAGTCAGTCGTGAACTGAGGTGGGCCGGTCTGAGGCTTGAAACTCCAGGGCTGAAAAGGAGTCCCACTCCGGCCCTGCTTCATGCTACCTCTTTAACCACCAAAATTGCTGACAGGAGCTGTATAACTGAGCAATAAACAAATAGTGTTAATTACTTTGTAAATATCTCATCAGTCTGTGTGAGAAAAACATCAGTTGCTCTCATCTGCTCCACCCGCCAGGTTTGAATCAGAGAACATGCGCTTAGATTTACTAACTTTGTGAAGTAAGTTTTACTCGCGTCTGTCTTTTTTTGGCATTAGTTCAATATATTACGAAACACTAAGTACATATTACTTGGGTATATCCATTTAGATTTACTATTGTATTTTAATCACAATAAATTAAAACTAAACATTAAGTAGCTTATTGAATTAAACAATTCAATAATTGTTTACCCAGTTCACTTATAACGCATGTCTTTGGTCTGTGGGGGAAACCGGAGCACCCAGAGAAAATCCACGCTAACACAGGGAGCACATGCAAACTCTACACAGAAATGGCAAGAAACCAAGCAACCTTCTTGCTGTGAGGCGACAATGAGAACCACTGAGCCACTGTGTTGCCCCTATTATGTTATTATATTATTTATAATCAATAAGATTGTTATGTTATAGTGCATAGTATTATAAATAAAAATACCACTGAACCTACAGTGATTAGGTGTTAGCTTTATAAATAAATTATCACTTTTTGAATTTTTTTCTGCGTTATTATTATTATTAATAATAATTATAATAATAATAATAATAATAATAACAATAATGCATTTTATTTAAAGGCGCCTTTCTTGACACTTAAAGTCATCGTACTGGACAACTAGAACAATCAGTTCAAATAAAAACACAATAAAAGTCAATAGAATAAAATACAATTTTTAAAAATGCAGTCGGGTTAAAGTGAATAAGCTGCTCTAAACAGATGTGTTTTGAGTTTGGATTTAAATTGTGAAAGAGAGTCTAAATTACGGAGATCAGGAGGGAGTGAATTCCAAAGCTGAAGGTGTGGCGATATGACCAAGATTAGTAAGGTGGAGGAGCAAGATTGTGGATGGCTTTAAAAGTGAGAAGGAGTATTTTATAAATAATTCTAAAAAAGATGGGAACCAGTAAAGCGGTTTGGGTGTTATGTGACAGAAAGAGGGAGTTTTTGTGATAATACAGGCTGCAGCATTTTGTAACAGCTGTAATTTATGAAGAGTTTATAGGTAGGCCAAACAGAAGGGAATTACAGTAATCTAAATGGGATGTGACTAAACTATGAACAAGAATGGCAGCTGAATGAGGTGTGAAGGAAGGAGGTAAATGATTTATATTTCGAAAGTGGAAATAGCCGGACCGGGTGGCATTATTAACATGTGCAGTGAAAGAAAGGGTGCTATCGAAGATGACCCCCAGACTCTAAACATGAAGGGAAGTGGTAATGACAGAATGATTTGTGGGAATAGAAAAGTTATGTGATTTGTTTAAAGTGGATCGTGTACCTATAAGTATAAGTTCAGTTTTATTGTCATTTAATTTTAGGAAATTTGAGGTAAACCATGATATGACGTCTGCAAAGCAGTTAGTAGTGGATGAAGGTGGAAGTTTGAGGTTGGGTTTGGTTGATGAATAGATCTGGGTGTCATCTGTGTAGCAATGAATATGGATTTGATGTTTGCGGAAAATAAAACCAAGTGGAAGAAGGTAGATGTTAAATAGCAGGGGACCCAAATCTGAACCCTGGGGCACACCGGAAGTGACAGGGACTGCTGACGAGGTGAAAGAATTTAATTGAATCTATATTAAACATTAACTAAGATATTAACACCACCTACTACAATTAATAAATGCTTAACAAGTGTAATAGTCAGTTTTAATTCACTACTAGAAGACAAACTTTTCATTCACTATCAAATAGTATTATTTTGAAGTGGTTATGAACAGCAGGAATATAAATAAATCATAATATTTTCAGTCAATATCTTGGTTATTTCAAAGGCCAGATTAGTAGTAAAAACAGTTTTTGTTTTTAAACTAAGTAACCTATTAGACCTTCAAACTTGTGCTGTTGTGGTGAACCAACAATCTGAATACTCTATATGTTAAATCAAAAATTCACTGTGTTTTGAAGAAACCTCGATAACCATACCATGCCTGTTCATTTTCACAAATCATTGTGTTGTTGAATATTAGCATGTCTAGTCTCACGCAATAGTTTTTAAATGTTTGTCAGAGCTGCACAATCATGAGCAGCAATTTTATTAGGCTAAAAACTTACATTTATATCTATATTAATCAAAATGTCATGAATGCAGTCATTTGAGATGGATAGAAGCTGCCCTGACTCTTTCAGTGAAGTGTTTTCTTCTGTTTTTGTGATGCATAGCAAACAGGATTAGAGTCAGTTACGTAACTCCCCCCAGAGCCTCTCCTCATGCATCGCCGTCTGGAGCTGAATATCTAAATAATGATTTTGGCGTTTATTTATGCTTAATTTGCACAGTCTCTTTTTGTTTATTAATGCATCTGCCATCTTTTCATGTCTGATGAGTTGAGATGAGCGAGGGAGAAAGAGATGGGGTGATGGGGTATTTATAGTCTCCTGCTGTGGGGCTGGACGCTCCATCCTGTCAGACCCCATCAGATCTCCGTATGGACTCTAATTCACTCTTACACACAACTACATCACTACTAATACCACACTCAGCATTTTTACAGCCAGTTTTGACTATATCAGTTGAAGTCTGAATTATTTGCTCCCCTGTATGTTTTTTCCCCAATTTCTGTTTAACGGAGAGAAGATTTTATCAACACATTTTCATACATAATAGTTTTAATAACTAATTTCTCATAAATGATTTATTTTATCTTTTCCTTGATTAGAGTATATAATATTTTACTAAATATTTTAAAGACTATTCTACACAGCTTAAAGTGATGTTTAAAGGCTTAACTAAGCAGGTTAGGGTAATTAGGAAAGTTATTGTATATCGATGGTTTGTCCGAAGACAGTTGAAAAAAATTTGCTTTAAGAGGCTAATAATTTTTACCTTAAAATGGTGTTTAAAAAATGAAAAACTTTAAAATATTTTATTCTAGCCAAAATAAAGCAAATAAGACTTTCTCCAGAAGAAAAAAATATTATCAGACATTCTCTGAAAACTTCCTTGCTCTACTAAACATCATTTGGGAAATATTTTAAAAAAAATCAAAGGGGGGGCTAATAATTTTGACTTCAACTGTGTGTGTATGTATGTATGTATGTATATATATATATATATATATATATATATATATATATATATATATATATATATATATATATATATATATATATATACATACAGTATATATACATATTTTTTATACACATATATATAAGAATAGAATTATTATATATATGTGTGTGTGTATATGTATATATATATATATATATATATATATATATATATATATATATATATATATATATACATACATATGATATGTATATATATATATATGTGTCTATATATATATATATATAGTATTGCATGCTTTTGCACTTTTCAAAACTGATTTTGTAATATGAATTGAAATTTATTATTATTTTTTGAATAACACATTTTCTGCCTGCAAAGCACTTTGAAATCAGGGATTTGTTTTGAAAAGTAGGGATGCACAATATATTCGCGGCCATATCGATATCAGCCCATAAATGCTACTTTTAATATTATCGATAACAAAATTAGGTCGACATCTTTAAGCCGATAAAGTGGCTTAAATAATTGCAACATAGGCCAGAGGAACGTATGGCTGTATTTCATATTTAAAACAAGTGATACGGGGCATTATGTTGTCGTTTTTTTCGCACTAGCAGCTGACTACCTCCGTATGGATGGCTTTCCAGTTAGCTCACCGTGTATGTCAGTGGACTTGAGACACCATAGATACAGTTGAAGTCAGAATTATTAGCCCCCCTGTTTGTTTTTTCCCCAATTTCTGTTTTACGGAGAGAAGATTTTTTTTCAACACATTTCTAAACATAAAAGTTTTAATTACTCATTTTTAATAACCGATTTCTTTGCCATGATGACAGTAAATAATATATGACTAGATATTTTTCAAAAGACTTCTATACAGCTTAAAGTTACATTTAAAGGCTTAACTGGGCTAATTACGTTTACTAGGTTAGGGTAATTAGGCAAGCAATTGTATAACGATAGTTTGTTCTGTAGACTATCAAAAACAAATATAACTTAAAGGGGTTAATAATTTTGTCTTTAAAATGGTGTCAAAAAATAAAAACAGCTTTTATTCTAGCTGAAATAAAACAAATAATTCTTCAACTGTATACAC